ATTCTGTTCCATTGCTCTATGTGTCTGTTTTTATGCCAGTACCATACTGTTTTTATTACTATAGCATTGTGATATTGTTTGAAATCAGGAAGTGTGATGCTTCTAGATTTGGTCTTCTTTCTCAGGATTGCTTTGGCTATTTGTGGTCCTATGTAGTTCCCCACAAATTTTAAGATTCTTTTTTCCATTTCTATGAAAAATGCCTTTAAAATTTTGATAGGGATTGCACTGAATCTATAGATAACTTTAGGTAGTATAATCAGTCCCTTTCTGTTATAATCATACTCTTAACATTTGGATCAACAGGTATGTTAGATTGTTGCTTTACCCTGTCATTATGGAAGAATATTAAAATTATAGGCTTATAACTAAGCAGCCATCTACAAAAATGGAAGTAACATACCATGGCCACCAAAGAGACATGTAAGTATTTTGGCTAAATGGTGACAATATTATTTCAGTATTTTCCACTTTATCTAGAAAAGGGCATTGATATAGTTAATGGTTTAAAAAATATACCATTCTGGAATTGGCTTGTAGTCTTTCCACTGGATTCTTGAATGGAACCAGATAGATACAGATAGTAATTGTGGGTCAGAGTGGTAAAATGACTCATAGCAGCTTGGGAATTGTGAAACTGTTATCTTGATTTCATATCTCTGTCCCTTATTTCTAATGGTGATGTAGATAATATATGTTTTCCAGTAAACAAATTAAAACCCTTTCTAGTTCAAACATTTTTGTTCTTTATAACATCCCTGGAGATAAATGGAGACAATACCAGAGGAAGGAAACATAGGCATAGAGAAATGAAGAATTATAAAGGATAGAGGAACATAGGGAAGAGAACATGGGCCCCCATTTGCAGGAGGAATGGGGCGGAGACATAACTACCAGCCAGTACATTAGGGAGCAAGGAGGTACTTCTTGGGCTTCTCAAACCTGATGTGCTTATTCTCTCTTCTGGTTCTATTACTCCCCCCATAAATAATAAGATTTTTTACTTCCTTAGTCAGGATTTTGTCTCTAAAGATATGAAAGGGAGGGCAGTGTAAAACCCCCAAATGGCTGACCGTCAGAGAAGGCAGGAAGTTCATAAAAAGAGTGCATATGAGTAGCTGAGGCGTATTAGCTCTCTCTTTACCCATTGCACACAAGGACCTACATTTCAACTGGTACAGAATTGGCAGTTGACTCCAAATGATATACTGGTTAATACTGTAAAATTAGTTGTATTTCAAAGAGTAACACATATATTTCTTACCTAGCTCACCAATGTTCCCTTGTCACTTTTTAAACCATTTTCTAGAATGAAGGCTCTCTCTAGCTCAAAGCTCAAAATTATCAGTCACATTGAAAAGAAGAGTAAAAACAAGCCAACAAACTGTGCAGTATCTTTCAAATATCCATACTGTAAGTCAGGTTCCTCAGGACTCAGAGAAGGGCCTGCCTTTGGGGGAAAAGAAAAGTCTGGGGGAAGTCAAACCGTGGTGCAGTTCCACCAACAAAGGCCTCAGGATCCTGTGACCCTTATCATGTGGCCCTTTAAGGATCTCTAATACTGGCTTAGACTTGCAGAGAGGGCCTCAGCTGAGAGCTGTAGCGCTCAACACCGCTGGTCGATGAGGGAATGAATCTTTCAGTCTCAGATCTGGGCAGCACACCACAGCACCCACTACAATGCAGATAAAAGGTCTCAGCAAAATGGACTTCTAAGATTATCCATTTCTTTGAAAGATTGCCAAAGTAAACTTAGGATGATAAAGATTTCAAAGACAGCCCTCACTGGGCCAGTGATGGCAGATTCTTTACAAGTTTTGAGGCAAGGCTCTTGCTTGGTGCCTCATCACTGAGGTCATCCCAGGAGCTGCTTTTCCATATATCAGTAATAGCAGCGAGGACACAGGGGCTGCTCTGATTTTTGATGTGCAGGATGGTGGGCATAGGGGTAGGAGTGTTGCCACCTTCATCTCAATCTACTTGAAAGATTGACCTTAACCTTCTCCACTCCAGTTTGAGCCCACATTCTTACAGGATGAGGGAACGGTTGCATTTCGAATCTTTCTGTGTAAGAGAGGGCTCAAATTTGCTGCCAAGTACAGGAGCATCAGAGCCCTGAAATGGTACCTAAGAACTGGTTGTGCGTTTGGAACAATGCCTAATGTGGCATCATTGCTCAGAGCCACTTCAGGGAGCTGGGGGATCACCGTGGCATTGCCCGTGATAATCAAGGGCTGTCTGAGATTCAGGAGGTGAAGCAAGAAGATATGTGTGCCTAATGTTGAAGAAAAGCATTTTTATGTCTGTTAACATTTATGGTGTCCGATTGAGTGGGTTAGCAAAATAAAGACAGATGGCAACAGATTAATGCGAACACTTACAATACCTACAATATTGCACCCGCTCCAGCTGAAGCTCTCCTGCTCAACTTCCTCTACAACTCACAGTCAAATGTCGCTTAGTGACCCTGAAGAGAAGAGCAGTTTATGATGGATCAGGAATCAGGATTAACCACGCATTTATCATGGAATGAAGAATCAGAAACTTTATTTAATGTATAACTGTGATGTTTGTCTGGGTCTGGTGGATCATTACTTTGCAATCACTCCTTGTGTTAGGAAGCAGGAATTGATTAGCCTAGGGTCATTAAGTCCATCCCCTGCCTCCAGGCTGTACAGTCGGTGTAAATGGTTCCAGCTGGATATGCCCTTATGCTATTCTTAAGGAGCTCCTGAAGAGGAAATTACGAGATGTCCCAGCAGAGCACATTGTGAGGGTCTCACAGCCTCAAGCTTTAAGAAGTTCTTTTCCATATTTAAGGAGCACTGGACTAGGGAGTCATGGAACCTGGGCTCTTCTGTCAGCCCTAATTCTTAGCAGTGGTTATACCTTGGCATAGCCATTTTTTGACTTTTTTTTTTTTCAACAGAAGAGGAGAACAATAGTATTTCTCCTGACACGGCTGACACCTCCCACAAGACTGTCAGAGGATCAAAGGAGACAGTGATAGGTAGAGCGCTGTTGCGTTTCTGAATTAAGTTGTGATTTACCAGTTCTAGGGGACAAATTGAGATCAGTTAGACACAATTAAGGCCTGATGAGGACATGGAGAAGCAGATGCGATTAAGAGTTTAAAGCCTCAGTGAGTTTAGATGGAGAGAATAGGTATAAGGTGGAATCTATCCTGCTTATGGTTGAACATAAACTTCATTTGACTAGGTCATGTTCAAGCCTATTGCCCTCATCACAATGCAATACCAACAGTTAAGTTGTCTGATATGGGGGTTTCAGTTTTCATTGTATTTAAGTAGCATTTGGAATGATTTTTGTTTCTAGCTTTAAGATGTTTGATGACCTGGAGTGCCCTGTCCTGTATTTGGCTGAACCCAATTACTAGTAGTCTAGTGTGGATTTGATGTTGTAGAGAAACCCACCCACTCGTTGCACATGTGTTTCCATATCACATAATGAAAAATACATTGTAGCTTCAAGCTTCTGATTAGTGATGATAAATTTTTTCCAATGTTGGAATTTTTTAATGTGTGATAAATGTCTTTCATAATTCACCCAAGCTTTCTGAGTACAAGAGAACATCCATTATCAAGCAGAGATATGAATTTTCCTTGTATATGCCTTCTGCCATGATCCCACCTTTGCTTTGGGGGTGTTTGAGTTGAGGTCGGTTTGTTGTTGCTGCCCCATGGGTTACGTGGCTGCACTGGAAGAGTTGTGACCCTTTCTCCCTCCACACTCGGACACAATTTGTCCTGTGTCTTTCACCCTGGGAGAGCCTCACAGCTGGTCTGCATGATACCGATATCATTTTTATGATAAATGAAGGCCTTTTGAAAAGCATAGTGTCTCTATCCTGCTATGGTGAATGAAATGCCTCCTCCAAGGACAATGCACTGCCTATTAGTTGCAGCAGTTGCACAGCCATTTCTGCTCTTTGATTTTTGCCTCTCTGATTTGGGTATGTTTCTTTCCTTCCTTTTCTATTTGATTCCTGGGGCTTTCCAGAAGAGTTTGCTTGAGACTCCTGTCCTTCAGAGGCTTTTTAAAGTTTTTGTTTGTTTTGTTTTTTAAGTAGTGAATGGAGGCTATGGCTCAATGAACTCACTGTTTTGTTTATTTTCATATTTCTAGCAAGTAATGGTGCCAGGATTCAAACTCAAGTCTTCTGATTATTCATCCCATATCCTTTGAACTTGAACACAGTGTTTAGCACAAACTAAAACTTATAATAACGTTTATTTGACACATTTAACTACATAACTACATGAATATTGGTGATTGGGCTGCCTAGCCATTAGGCATCCATGGTAGGTTATAGAAATGAAAAGGGTGAATATGTTTGAGGCACAAAGTCAACATTTGTAGGCTGAGGGGTGAGCAGAGAAGGAGAATAAAGAGATTGTGGTTCCCCACAGGGCTTCCCTGCAGGCACCAGGGGCTCATTTTAGGGAGGTGTTGTCCTGCAGGCTTGGGGCCTCAGGCTTGGGAAGTGAGACAAGGCAGAGGCTGGGAGTGGCGAACATCTTCCTTTTCACAGCACCTGCTCTGGGACGCCATCATTAAGTTCTAGGGGAAAAAAAGAAAGTATGGTAAATGCCTCAGAGAAGCAATAAGCTAAAACAATGAATATTTAGGCAGGTGGCTAAGGTGACAAGTTCATACTGTGCTGATTAGTTTTACCTGTCAACTTGACTGGGCCACCGAGTACCCAGATACTGGGTTAAACGTTATTCTGGGTGTGTCTATGTTATAGTTATGATTGTATGAGTATGTAGTGACCCCCATATTTCAATATTAAGTTGTAACCCAATGTGAGACCCACAAAACCCGAATGTGCTTTCCCAAATGAGTGAAGGCCCAGAACTTGTACCCTAGACCCATATCGCACCAGTACAGCACACCACAGCTGGCGGCCACCGATAAGGACCGTCGTGTTTACTTGACCACATAAAAAGCCCGGACTTTTGACACTCAGTGTCCCCTGCCCCAAGAGAAGAGCACTCCACATCACTCTGCAAGATGACCCCGAGACGCTCCGCCGAGACGGAGACCGGCTGCTCCCGTTTTCATCTTCGTCCTTGTTGGTGTGCATCGCCGGGTGGCCGCACTGGTGCTAGGGTCCACTAGGAACTGGTAATAAACCCCTGTGTGGTGGCAGATTGACGCCTGCCTCTGTGTGTTGATGTTTATGACTTGGCTCTGTTGCCTTAGGCCTTAAAGATCTGAGGGGGTCGTTGTTATCCTGACCCTCGGACACCTGAGCTTGTCCCGACCAGGCTAAGGCAGAATAAGAAATTAATAGAATTTGGGGTCAACTGGGATAGTCTATGAGGGTGTTTTGAGGTAAAATTAACATTTGAATCATAAGACTGAGTAAGGCAGATTGCTCTCCTGAATAAGGGTGGGCCTCATTCAATCAGTCAAAGAACTGAATAGAACAAAAACGCTGCCCCTGCCCCTAGTAAGAGGAGTAAGAGAGAATGCACCCTGCCAGACCGCCTTCACACTGGGACCCCAGCTTTTGCCTGTCTTTAGACTTGATGTGAAACATCAGCTCTTCCTGGGTCTCAAGCCTGCAGTCTTCTAACTGAATGTATATCATCACTTCTCCTGGTTTTCAAGCCCTCAGACTTGGACTGGACTGGAATTACACTATCAGCTCCCCTGAATCCCCTGCTCTCTGACTGCAGATGTGGGGACTTCTCAGTGTCACACTCACATGAGCCAATTCTCATATTTAATATTTTTCTCTATCTACATCCTACTGGTTCTATTTCTTTGGAGAACCCTGAGTCATATAACATCCCTCCTGTAAGGTAAGTGGTAAATAGCGAATGATAAGGCAGAAGAGGAAGTAGTGCATAGGCTATGGAGATCTGGGGGAGAGAAGTTGGGGTCCTGGCAGAGAAAACACTCCAGAAACAGGTCACAAAAATACAGGATGAGCTATATTCTTCCTACAATGTATGGGAGTGATTTCTTAACTTTGCTATGACCTTTCAGGACAGGAAATGTAATGGGGAGGGGGTAAATGGAAGGGGCTAAAGAGTGAAGGCAATCTGGGAGCTTGATAAGAAAATCTGGGCCAGAGTGTAAGACAAGGGTTTTGAGCAATCATACAACTATGTGAAATGTGCTGGGGAACAAAGAATGAGAGAAAACTCGAGAGGCAGGGAGGGTGAGGGAGAGACATTCTGAGAGGGTAAGAGAAGGGCATACAGAGAGGACATCTCAAAGACTAAGAACGATGCCTTCAGCCAGTCTTGCTTGCTCCTCTCTAAAGATGAAAACAAGTGCCATTTCACTTTATTACATAAAATTTTGCCTATTTTTAACTCACTCCAGCCAACATTTCTTATTCATTTATTCAACAAATATTTATTGAGTGCTTACTCTGTACCAGGCCCTGGTCAAAAGTGCACAGGATATAGCTGTAAACCAAACAGTCAAAATTCCCTGCCCTCCTGACTGTCAGATCGTGCCTCCTGCTCTAGTAAAACCAAAATTTTGAACAAAAAAGACAATCCCTGTTCTGAAGGAGCTTATTGTCCAAGAGGATGATTTACACGTGCACAATTAATGATAACAGGACAATGTGACACACGGGAAAAGGCTTCAGGAAATGAGAATTACTCCTTCCTAATTTTTTTGATCCACTTTGAGATCCTGCCATTAAACCACATGATTATTTAGTGCCTAACAAATTACAAACTGCATCTGACATATATTACCTTACTTCATGCTCTGAAAATAATTTCAAGTGAGATAAAAACAGATTATTAATTGCAAATTTGAGAAGATAAAAGCTCAATTGTTTAAAAATATGTTTTTATTGATTTTTAGAGAGAGAAAGGGAGAGGGATAGTGAGAAACATCGATGAGAGAGAAACATCATCTATAGGCTGCCTCCTGCATACTCCACACTGGGGATTGAGCCTGCAACTGGGCATGTTTACTGACTGGGAATAAAACAGGTGACCCGTTGGGTCCTGGATTGACCCTCAACCTCTGAGCAACACCAGCCGGGCTCAATTATTGACAGACCTGTTTTTATGGAGAATTCTATATTTCTCTTTCCATTTATGGCAAGCCACATGTCCTGCCTTTTCTAACCTCTCCTACTGGTGGGAGAAGTGAAGTATTGAGTGCACGGGGCTGGGTAGCCAGTGGCAGAGCTGGTTGTGAGTGGTTATGAATCAAGGATAACCAGGTAGTTGCAAAAGGAAGTATGGGGTGGTGGATACAGGAGTGGTATTTTGTACTAGAATTGACCATGCATGTCCAATTTATGTGTAATGCCATGTGAGGACGAGTGTTACATGATATTAAAAATTTCTAGGGAACATTTCCCCTGTATCTACAGACAACTTTACTGTGCACAGATGTATGTTTTTCCTGCCTGTCAAGCTGGTCTCACAAAGGGGAGGCTGAATAGAGGGAATGGAAGGCACCCACCAGAAAGGGGGCAGGTTTCTTAGCAGTCTTCTCTCAGGAAACTCAGCCAGCCTTTCCAAAAATGCTGGATAAGAGGACCCGTTCTCCCAGGATACTTACAGGACAGAACCAAGGAATTGCTGCAGGCCCAAAGTCAAGGGGACTGCAGAACAAAGCCTCAGATTTTCCTCTAGCAGCATGTATTTAGAAGAGTTTGTCAGTCCTTTTCATCTTCATCCTCCCCCTGAGAGGTGGGCAGGGTAAGTACTGATGTTCTCACTCTATGGATGAGGAACCAAGGCTGACATGTTTAGTATTTATGGAGATTACAAACAAGTGACATGTGGAGTAGAGTTTTGATTTCAAGTATGTTTGATTTTTTAAATCACAGGTTTCTTTTTCTATGATACAATTTTCCCCCATGAATAAAAAGTGAGGGGGAAATTGAAGTTTATATATATACTTCAATTTCCCCCTCACTTTATCACTTTATATATATATATATATATATATAATAAATTTAACGATGTAGCCAGCCAGTCAGTGGAGCTTACTTACAGTACTGTTTTTATTCTTCACAATTAATTCTTCACAATTAAGACTGCATGCACAGTCTTAACATAACAAATCTCAGCCTTGTTTTTCATCTAAACTTTTCAAAAACATAGATATGTCATCTCTGTGTGTGCATGTGTGCATGTGGGGGTGTGGTGGAGGGAGTTAGCTATATATTCTATATTGAATCAGAATATCTAGGAGTTAGACTACAGGAATTTCCAGGTTATTCTGAGGGGTAGCCAGGGTTGGAAACTACTATTAGGTCTTCTGCTTAAGCAGAGTCTGGTTCTGATGGCGTAACTTGACCTGGTCTCTTCGAATGGTGTCCAAACACTGATCATGCTTGCATATGGTTATAACTTCACAAGGTTCCTATTGGTTGGCATACATGGAACAATCTATTTATGAGAGTCAGAATTATGTGATAACCCAATAACCTATATCCTCTATATTTCTCTTGAGTAAGATCATGGTTTTTTTAAATACATTCTGCCAATCTTTGTCTTTTTATTGGAATGTTTAATTCATTTACATTTAATGTACTAACTGATAATGTAGGATTTCCATTTTTCTATTTGTTTTCTATATGTCTTATATTTTTTCTGTTCCTATGTTATTTTCACTAATAAATTCTGAGTTACATAGTTTCAAGTGTGGCATCTTAATCCCTTTGCTCCTTTTGCTATATTTTGGAGTTATTTTCTTAATGTTTTCCATGGGAATTACACTTAACATCATAATTTATCACAATTTAGTTTATTTTAATACCCACTTAATTTCAATAATTTATAAAAACTTTGTTCCTAGCTGAATTTCCTCCTTTCTCCTTTGTCATATTATTGTTATACAAATTACTCCATTATACATTATTTATCTATCAAAAGATTTATAATTATTACTTTATACACTTGTATTTAAAATGTTATAGAAGAAAATAATTACAAAGACTTTATAATGCCTTTATATTTACCTCTGTACCTATATTTATCTTTACTAATGCTCTCCATTTCTTCATGTAGGTTTTATTTACTGTCAAGTGTCCTTTAATTTTCTCATGAAGAACTCTCTCTAGTATTTCTTATAAGGTAGGTCAGCTAGTGACAAATTCTCAGTTTTTGTCCACCTGGGAATGTTTTATTTATTTACTTTTCTCTCTCTCTCTCTCTCTTTTTTTTTAAAGGATAGTTTGGCTGGGTATAGAATTCTTACTTAATATGCCTGAGTCAGTTCAAATAAAGACAACCCTTCACATGAGAGTTGGTAGAAAACTGAACTGGTCAAATAATAACAGCTCTCTGGGAACCCACCAGTAGCTGCTAGACTGCTCATATTTACTGAAATTGTGAGGCTGTTAGTTTTCAAGTGTATATCAGCACTGAGAAGAAAGGGATGGAACTTAAAACACCATATAGTTTGTTTTTCTTATAGAGATTATTGAGTAAAAATTCCTTGTTGCAAGCTTTCGATTAATTTCCAGATTCCTGAAAAGTTTTTGCTTTTTGTTCTGTTGGCTTTTATGAAGGAGCAGATTTTTCGAAGTCCTTATTCTGCCTTTTTCTCTAACATTATCTTCCTTAGCTTATGTTAATTCTTCAAACAAGTTTTAAAAGATTCTTTACATTATCTCTTTGAAAGTGGAATAATAATATCTGACCTGTCTCATTTTAGTTTATGGTAAGAACTAAAAGGGATAATATAGCTAAAACATAAGTAAGCAAAATAAGGGCAAATTGAAATGAAATATATACTGTTAGAGTTCTTTTGTTAAGATATATACCAGTATTAGTCTAATGTTCTGGCAGAGATGCCTGGCTCTCCTCAACATTTGTGCTTCCTCTTCCAACATGTAAAGTTATTGCTGAGAGATGATTTTCTAGCCATGAACTATATCTTTAGCTCTCTACCCCTTACTAGTATATCTAGGAGGGATCATGCAATTGGTTTTCACCAATGGATTGTACACGGATGTTAATGCTTAGTCAGAGGGGTTAAGGAATGTTTGTACATCTCTTTTCCCTTCTTTCAGTTTGATGCAAAAGGGCATGGTGACCTTGGGGGCCATGTGTTGAAGGCAATAGAGCTGTTAAGATGGAAATCCTTACTCAAAAGAGCACCATTCTAGATTTATTTATTTATTTATTTATTTATTTATTTATTTATTTATTTATTTGAATGAGAAGTAAACTTCTGTTATGCTTGATCTAAATGCAAGAGGCACTCCTACAAGATAAGGTTAACATCTGGGTTAATATATTATCCTGTATGCAATAGCAAGACTTTGGGTAAAATTTTTTCACTTGGCCATGTTAATTTGAGGATCTGAGAGTAAGAGCTTCTACTAAAGTCAGCCAATGTGGGCTTACCTCGATATGACAATCTGGGCTGGCACAAATAGCTGATGAAATGCTCTGTGGTCAGAAGAGACAATTTATAGCTGTCAGGTTGGGGGTTGATGATGTGTCCCCTAAGGAGTAGACCCTCCAATGAATAAGTGACTAGCCTTTAACTTCCTAGATAATATGTTAGACTGGAAAAGTCTGGGTTCCTTTTATGTAGGTCGGGGAAAACTTCCACAGGCCAAGGTCAGACTCTTAAAAGAGGCTATTCGGGTAGAAATATCTGGCTTGAACATTGATGTCAGTTATAACATCTGGAGAGTCATTCTGGGAGTCAGGAATGACAGAGAAAACACCATACTATGGAAACAGAGGACACTTGCAGTGATTTTGGACACATGATATACCCCAGGAACCCTTTGATTCAGAAAATGGGCTAGGGAATCTTGAAATTTTGCCAGTGACTGTTCTATAAAGGATAGTTCTTTAGTTGCTCCATTGTGGCATACATTTATCATTGAACCATCAGACTTTTGAAACCTGAGGAAATGCAGCCTACACACATATGCTATGATGAGCTGGGCTATGCAGCTTATAATGGAGGCAGAAAAAGATGCTGTGATTTGCGTCTCTCCCTTGCTCATTCTCTTTTACTGTCTGAATTTCACTTTTTTTTTTCCTCCCTAATTGTATGACCACTGGGACTGGAGACCCTGTGGATGGAGTTCTGAGAAATCGAGGGGAATGTTGTAATGAGAAACTGTTTCCCATTGATCTTCTTCTCTCCCAGTAAGCTCTATGTTTGGACTGCTTTGGGCGTGGGGGGAATCGGGCAAGGGCAAACATCCAGGAACTTACATTGTCAGGAGCTTTGTGGTTTAGACTCAGAAATGCAGTGAACTGATAATGATGGCAAGCAGAGGTTAAATCTCCATCTCATCATCAAACTGGGAAGAATAAAGGATTTGTATTCAGTCACACAATGTGGAATGAGGGCAGCTCTTAAAATGATTGCTTAGGGTTCTTTTTAGCACAGCTTCTGTTTAGCTGTATGTGACAAAGTCTGCTCAAAAAAAAAAACTTTTGACTAGATATATAATAAATGAGAGATGCCCTTGGGAAAAGAGAAACACCTGTTTTCCCCTCACTTAGTTCAATTCCTACCCATTAATTACTTAGGAATATTTAGGTGGCAGGCACGCAAAACACAGACCCCCGAGCCCTAGCCTTTGCCCCAACAAAACTCCCTTTGGCATTTTAAAATTAAGGGTTATTTTTTTTCTCTCCTTTGGCTAACTGGTTTGCTTTTATACTACCTCTGTGGGGCCTGGGGAATACCCATCCCTGAACATACACAAATCCAACTTTGAAAAGCCTGGTGTGAGAATGATCCACAGAAACAGGAGAAGGCCTTTGCTTTTGACCATACATGGACCTTGGCACTGTGATGTGGGGAATTTGCACGGGCTCTTACACAACTTCTGCCCTGTGCCCTCACCGGGCAGCTGTGCTTTCTTTAGCATGGATGCTTCCGGAGAGTGACAGCCCCTAAACCTTGGGAAGTTTCCCCCTCAACAGAAGAGCCCTGTCCAGGACGTTAGCCAGAGCAGACATCACTCAAAAGGAGATGTTTCCTGAACATCTTCTCCTCTTAAATCCACTCCACTCCTCACCAGAGCTTTGCAAGAACCCCTTTTATTGCCACCTCTCACAAAAGTTTTTAGAATGTTTCTTTTCCACTTAATTGACTTTCCAATTTCTTACTCACACTTGGCTTCTGTCTTTGTTTTACTTCTGTGCTAGTTGAAAGCAGTATTATTTAATAGTCACATATATACCTTCCCGTAGGGCTACATCCTTGTTACAAGTCCACAGCTCCCTATTTTATTCCTTGAAATCAAGAGGAAATCCCCCACCAAAACGAGTTAGATAATTAGCTTGGCTACTGTTTGCTGCAGAAAGCATTTTGGGTTGGCTCTGGTCATTGTGCCTCAGCTTTAGGGCTGGGCCTCCCTTTCGGTGCAAGGGGCAGTCAGCACTAGTGCCAGCCAACCCCTGCTCCCCTGCTCCCTCACCACAAGCCCCTAATTGTTTATTAATGAAGCTTTCGCCAACCAAATCTACACATTGTCTAAACCTTCTTCCCCCAGAGAACATTCCAGCCCGCCCACGAAAGTGCATGGTGGGGCCGCGCTCCAAAAAGCCTCATTCTGTCCTTGGTAGAGTTGGTTAGAATTCAAACTTTTTTTTTTTTTTTTTTTTTACTTTTATTGGCAGCACCAACTACATATGAGATCATTTCTGACCCCTTCTAACTGGCAGCACAGGTGTCACCACTCAAAGCTGCGCTCGCTTCTCTGCCCAGTGCCCCCTAAGGACCGTGTCCCTCTCCTCTCCACAGCTGGCCTCCCGGCCTAGGAGACAGGACAGCCCTGGTGGAAACTCCTCCCAAACACCCAGTGGATGGAGCAGCCCAGCAGGAATAAGCCAACAGTTTCTGCTTGGTATTTGAACATCATTTAATGAGTGCCCAGAATTCATCTGTAAATGCACATTGTTAATTTAGGGCCTGCTATTCATTAATTAGGGCTTTAGTGGCAAGTGCCATTGAGCTATCTGCAATGTTTAAGGTTATGTCAAGCCCTAGTAAACGGCTTGCTGATAACAAGCTGCATCCATCTTCATTACTCCGCCACTCCTGTCTGACTTTGCTCAGCATCTTCGAAGGGCTATGCCTCTTGGAACTGAAGAATTAAACTTTTATCCAAACCAGATTCTGCTCTTTCACCTCTTCTGATTCCCTGAGTACTTCCCATTTATTTTGCCTAAATGACATCTGATTACCTAACATGGAATGGAGCAAGGTCTTAACCTAAAACAGCCTGCAGACCTCGGTTCTCAGCTGCAGAATTCCAGTGGGTTCACGCTAAGGAAATCCTTACATTTCCATTTCATCTGATACTGGGCTCAGTGTAAAAGAAATAGTTTCTGATTTTTTTTCCTCTCATAAGGTTGCAGTTTCAACAGATTTTTTTTTTTTTAAAGCCAGAGAAATACAGGAAATTAATTTTAAGCCTAGAGAATAAATGTCTCTGTTGGTTTGAGTTTACTTTTGCAGTGTTTTTCTCTCTGAAAATATGTATCATTTGAGGCAATCACGGTGCCAAATGAAATAATTCCAACCATCTAAAGGGCCCGGCATGGCAAGTCTCAGCTGCACATTCGCCGTCACGTTGGAGGTACCAGAGGGGCCCCGCCCTGGGCTTGTTTCGCCCACGAGGAAGCAGGCAGCTAGCACGGGCATTTAGGGAAATACTGCTTTTAAGGAAAAGTATGCAAGTGCAAGTTTGTTTATCCTTCAAATGCGAGGTTAGGGGACTTGCATAAAAACTAACTTCCATTGACAGATGGTCTCCATAAGTAGTCGATTCTGAGAAGGCAGAGCGCTACCTGGCATGGCTGTTTAACACATGAGGGTGCTTGCAGGGAGGACCTACTGCTCCCCTGAACCATGGTTCAATTTTAAGCATCACTGGCCGGGATGGGTTATTGTAACGATGTTGAGAAGTGAGCCCGAGAGCCTGATGCTCAGCGTGTGCGAGGGGCGTGGGGGAGGAGGAGGAGACTGATAGCCCAAGGGAGGGTATCTGAAAACCTGTGCACCACTGAGCTGGCACACTTATCACAGGGTGACAGTCCATACAGCGGCCTGCAGTGCATCGCTGTTTGGGGCGCCTGCTGCCAACTGGCTTAGAAAATGCAGATCCCCTTTCAGATAGAGAAAGCAGGAGGCAGAATGTCAGCTGACTGACATTCCCAACAATAGGTCTTCCTGAGCTCCGGGCGCAGGAGGGTGGCTCTGAGGCACGTCCAGGTCCGAGGGGTCAGGAGTGGCTCCTCCTGGGGAAGGGCCTCCTCTCCTTCTCCCAGCTCTCACCAGGAGCCCGCCGACCTGGCATTGGGCTGGAGGCCAGCCTCCTACCCCATCTCACAGGCTGGCAGGAATGCCATCTTGCCATTTTTTTCCTTTTAATTTTTTAATTAAACAGCACAATACAGATTTTTTTAAGTGAATTTATTTGTGGATGATGTTGTCCTACATCTTACCACACTCAATATAGCAAATGCCCCAGAAAACCCCCCACAAAACAAACAAAAGGCTGGGTTTACACCAGTTAGTGATGAAGTTATCTACATGCTATGTGATTGAAAGAGACAATCGTAGGCTGAGGATTTCTTAACTTTACCATAACGATGCACTGGGCACTTGAAGCAAGAGCCCTCAGAAGTGGACGTGCTGCAGGAGAAAGCACACGCTCTCTTTGGAAGAGAGAAAGCCAGGATATTGTGGTGGCAGGAGGAACAATGGAGCCAATGAAACAGAGGTCAAAGCTGAAGGTTTCTGCTAGAATCCAGCTCTATACAGGTATTTTAATTATTTTATTCCAGCAGAAAGCCTGCTGTAGCGCTTGGAGTACCGCATGCAGACCGCTGGGAAGAAAAGCACTCAATTGTTCAATTTTTATTATTCAATATTGTATTAAAAATTTTTTAGGCTCTTTGGGTCAAGGCTACTTTTAAAAGGTTAAAAGCTATTCAGAAGGGTTACCATATCCATAAAAGCAAATGAGATTAAGCCTAAAGACCGATGGAGAAAAAACAGTAATTTAGATAAACTGCTACCATCTAAAAAGTGTTTTGACTTTTACAGGAGAAAGAGAATTCAGAGATTCTTGGATTGGTTGTCATATCAAAGAAAGATTCATTAAATTTGAAGCAATTATTTTTGTGCTTTTTATTGTTTGGTGTGTTTTAGTCCAGCGTCTACCTTTCTTCGGTTACATTCTTTAAAATGGTTTGGGAATTGTAATTACGTGGCTCCAAGCATCCATCTGTCAACTCTTGACCTTGCTGGTTGGGCATCTGTAACATCAGACACTGTTGTCATGGAAAGAATTATGATGTTTCAATCGAATGTATCGCAAAGTTAACAAATCCATAACATGATCCGGATCACATGGAAGAGTTTAAAAAATGTGTTTCAGAGACCTCAGGGGGAAGTGAATAGGTTATTCACATTAATGTTTATCTCCAGCGCTGGCCATTAATTGGGATAGTTTTCTATTACAACAGAAGAGCTAAATTTCAACCTCGAGCTTGAAGTGAGTACTCCAGATCAAAACGTGGGGTTCAGCAATTGAGACAAAAGCCATTATATGCTTCTAATGTCAAGTTGTGCTTTCATTTATCATTGATTGACTTGGTGGCAACTTTGGAATGTCTGCCTTCTTGGATCGCTTTAGTTTTTGCTTAAAATACCCAGAGATATGCTTTAGTCTGGTTTTGTTGTTGAAGTCAGAAAACTGAACCTGCCAAAGGATGGATGGGACTCTCAGAGCTGGTAGGTCCGTGAAAGAGGTGATTATAGCAATCAGGACTGGCTGAAATTTACTTAAAAGTCTAAAAAGCATATAGAACAGAAAATTTCTTGACATTAAAGTGAGTAGTGAGTTGATATAAAAGTTTAATTTTATCTTTTATGGAAACGGTTTGGCTTGACAAAATTAAAATTAATAGAAATAAAGTAATATTCTGGACTCTTATACTTTATTTTCACTGTCCTGTGTCTGAACAAATAAGCATTCCAAGCAAGTAAGAGGAGCTAACATCTCCATTTTGTGAGAAATATTCTCTAACAAAGAGTTTTTGTGCCGCATACCTTTCATTTTTGCACACTCTAAAAGGAGAACGGTTGTTGTAATAATCAGATTTCTTGGATCACAGTGTCAAAGCAATGCAGATGCATCTGAGAAGAGCTAAAACAACATGATTCAAGGTGGCCGTGTCTGAAGAAAATCTGTAAAATGAAGAAATTCATTTTACAGATGAATAAATTAGGGGGTGATTATTCATATTGTGAAGGAGTCTTTAAAGGATTCCCCTAGGATCCTTTTAAAGGCTGAGCTCCACTAGTTCACATAAGTGTTTGCGTGCAGATCATTAACTATTTGACAGGCAGGCCGGAAATGCAGGTAGAGCCAAGGGGAAGAGAGAGAATGTTCAAGAGGTAGAGGAATCATTGACACTTGAGGCTCACCTACTCTCAAGATAGAAGTTGATGAAACAATAATGATAGTCAAAGTAAAAATACGATACTTACTTACAAGATATGCTTTTTACACTAGAGTTCTTGGGACAGACTGCTTGGGTTTAAACGCCATCTCCACCACTTCTTTAGCTGTGTGACTTTGGATATTAACCAAATCTACCTTTCCTAAAGGTAGGCCCCTCTGTACATTAACCTTCTAGGAATGTATGAGTATTATATGAGTTAGTATATGTAAGTATTTAGGGTACTGGCATGTAGTAAATGCTGAGCTCATGTTTCTAAGATGATTCTGGAACACGCTATTATAAAATACCAGGTGCTCTCCAAAGCAGAAAATTATTGGTGTTAATGTAAGACTTAAGACTGGAAGGGATTTAATAAACCAAATACATTTTATCCCCCCAAAAGAAAAAACAAACTAACATTGATAAATACAAATAAATACTGCTTTCTTTTTGGGGTTCCCAAGGAAGTCAATCTGAAATTTGACCTTCTTTGAAATTATTGTCCTAATTTTAGTTTTCTAGTGGTTTGGTAAAATTTCCAAAATCGGGAAGCACATAGAGGCAATTAGCAATCTAATATCTGTTGACTTTTTAAATGTTAAATGTCTTTGATTCACCTATTATTAAATTTGCATTTCAAGAACAATAGTGTACTGGTTGAAATAACTTTATTTGTGGGATAAATTTCTTGCTTAGTTGACTTTGCTTGGATGGCACAAGAATAAACTCGTTCCATGTATTCTATCCAGTGAATCTGTACCTATAGACTTTTGGGGTTGAAATAGACATTAATTGATACTTTCCAAAGGAACAACCAGTCAGAAAGTGTCCCAGTCTGATTAAATGCATGAACTTAAGAGGTTGCCAATCCAGAACCACTGAGAATGGGCATGAAAGCTGGGGAGTGTGTGAGTGCAGACAGGATGGCATAGGAATCTCAGTTGGGTAGATGTAAGGAGGGTGCTGTCGGTTCATTGTATGCAATGAGTTTTCCATTCTGGGGTCCCAGTAGGTGACAATTGGCTTGACCATCTTAATTTTGCCATGGCACCTAAGAAAACCCAGACTGTTTTAAGGGCCAGTAATGACAGTTCTATTACATTATAAAATGGTCTTCTAACTATCTAATGTACTCTCCTTTTGTGCCCCTTGAAACTCCTCTTCTGCTCAGGTCAGGCCTCCCTGGCTGGCCAGCCCTCTGGTCACATCAGAAGACCCACAGCTCTCTCACACTCTATTCCATATCCCAGTTGGATACAGGTTGAATAAAAATGTGCTTTCTGGCCCTCACACTTAGTTTATGTGAGTGAATGCTGATGGAAATGGGTAAGTAAATAGTTTTTAAGTGCAGGAGATCAAATTACTTCCTTCACAACTTGAAGTTCTTGACAGCTCTGAAAAAATCTGCTTTTTTTTTTTAATGTTAAAGTGGGTTGATCTTCACCTTGCCTCACAGCAGATTGCCAAATTGTCAGCTTTCAATATATTATTTTTTGGAAAAAATTTTTTAAGTGATTTGATTCATTTGGGGGAGAAATTTCTAAAGTTCAGAAAACTTAAAACAATGAAAATCTGTAAATGCTTTTATTTCTGACTTGAGTTATATTGAATAAAAGACAGAACTTAGCTTAAGTGGGAGCTATTTTAGTTGCCTTTAGTTGAACATTTGTGTCTCTTACTGATTATTTTCTGTGGATCCAATAGCCTTTATATGTCAGTACCAAGAAATCAAATTTTGTTATACTGCTTATGATACAACTTTGCCCAAAGCAGTCTGGTCTCTCAGGTTTAAATTACCATTATATTTTCTCATTATACACATATTCTTTACCGTATATAACACAAGTATATGAACAATTACTTGTGTAATTATTTATTTAATGTCTGTCTTTATTGGTAGACAATAAGCTCTATCATGATAAGCTCTACCATGTTTGGCTCAATGTTATAGACCCAGTGCTTAGCATAAGAGCACACATAGTAGATGCTCAAAAAATGTACTGAATCAACCAAATTACTAGTAAATTTTCTGTCCTTATTCGGCTTAGTGGTAACTACATATCTAATATATGTAAATATTACATATGTAATGGTTAAAATATTCAAACTTGTAGAGATGGGAAATGGATAAAACGTAAATTTATCCCCACTGTCCTCTACTGATCTCCAAAGGTTTCCAAAGACAACTTTGATTGCTTTTCTTTTTAGCTATTCTGATATTTAGCATCATATTTCTAAATAACATTGTACTCTTGGTTTTGTTAAGACTTCAGACAATATCTGCTGGTTTCCAGATGAAAGATAAAAACTTTAATACATTCGTACTCTTACTTTTCCCCTCTGTCTCAGGTGTGTTTTGGTTTTGGTGTTGTTATTGTTTGTTTTAGCTTTTCTATTAGTTATCTTTACTGCTTGATATTATCCTCTATGGTTTTCAATCACCAGCTTTAGACTGGCTCCATTTCCTCTATACTAGACGAAATGAAGAAATCAGTGCACCTACAATTTTTCTTTTTTTCTTATCCCCACCGACTTCTCTCGCAACTGAATCATTGTATTTTATATTTTTACAGTTTAGAGCAAAATATACATAAATATCATTATTATTATCATCATAATTTGCACTTATGCACTGGTATCATTCCATTTGTACCATTTACATTTTAGTTATGTATTCAATGTGTTTTATGAATTGTATAAGTTTGATAAAAATATAAGTTTATGAAATAATCAGTATTTAAAAATGAAGAATATTACTTTTTCTAGAATCGTGTATGACAAGGCACATAGAGAAAGCAATGTAATCCTATGTAGTTCTAAGCACTAAAGTCCAAAAGGATTAATATATAATATAACTTATTAATTATGAATATAATAATAAAGAAACAAAATTTATATTATACATATTATATATATCAATAATTATTCAAAACAATATCACATTTTAGCTTGCTTAATATTTACCATGACTTTCTTTTACATCTGTTTTCCCATGCACACTACCATCTAATGTGCATGGGAAAACCCACCTCCAACTAATATAAATCTTTTTTTATGCTCATTACTTTTGTGGCCTACTGTTCATGCTGAAATTTCTTTCAGTGTACCACTGGATTATATTAAACTGTTCTTAGATGCATTTTCTTCCTCTTTCTTAGATTATTTTTTCATATTACTGAAGTATATTCTAATAATACTTCCTTTAGAAAAGGTATATGAGAGGAAAATTTTTTGAGTCCTTTCATGTCTAAAAATGCCTTTATTCTTCAATTAAGTCCTATTTATAACTACATTTGATATAGAATTCTAGGTTTAAAGTTGCTTTATAGTTTTTAATAGCCTATGTTGTTAATAAGATATTGATACCAGTCTGGTGATCATGACTTTTTGAGGAAACACTCTTTTTCCTCTCTGAAAGTTTTTAGAATTTTTCTCTTCATGCTTAGTGTTCTGAAATTTTACAAAGATGTGTCTACTATTGTTGTTTCCTTCTCTTGATTTTTAGATGGGTTTGTGAATTTGGGGGTTGACATTTTTTCCAGTTTGAGAAAATGTTATTATCTATTTTCTTTTGTTATTTCTTTGGTTATTCTAACTCCTTCATTGTTTATATTGTTTTCTTATAAATCACCTTTTTGATAAGTTTTGGACCTTCTGGATCTATGCACTATATCAGTGCTTCTCAAATTTTAATGCGTACAAACACCTGGGATCTTATTAAAATTAAGATTATGATTCAATAGATCTGGGGGAGGCCTATGATTTTGCTGATTCTGCTGGTGTGTGGACCACATTTTGAGCATTGAGGCTTTACATTTCATTTTTAAAATGTGTTTTTATTGATTTCAGAGAGAGAGCACGAAAGAAATATCGATGAGAGAAACACCGATGGGAGAGAAACATCAATCAGCTGCCGCCTGCACCCCTGCTACTGGGGATTGAGCCCGAAACCCAGGTATGTGCTCGGATCAGGAATTCAGCCCGTGATCTCTTGGTGCATGAAATGATGCTCAGTCCACTGAGCCACACTTGCTAGGCAGCTTTATATTTCTTGAAATAACTTTTTGCTCACACTTTTTTCCCATTATGAAAAATTTTATTAATTCCATCTTCTAAATTAAACTTTAGTCTTTGCTTGCTAATGTTTAGTCCACTGTTTAATTTATTTTTAGATGATTGTATTTTTTTATTTTCAAAAACTCATAGCAGTCTTTTTAAATATTACAAATATACTATATTCTTGAAATTTTGAGGATATTAATAGAAATTTTTAATGTTTTCTTTTATTGGTTCTATTGTAACTGTCTCTTTTGTGGTCAATTTTGTTTATTCGCCATTGTCCTTTTTTTTCTACTCAGTTTCTCTTAACTGTCTGCTAATTTTAGGTTGACAACTAAAATTTGAGCACAGGGTTATGTTTATTAATTTAGATAGCTGGCATGAGTATCCTTTCAGGTCAAAAGGACCATTTTAAACAAAGGTCGCTGTACTGAATGGGGGAGCTGCCTCTAGGCTCTGTGTAGAGGTATGAACCCGGTTGACAAGTGGCTTTTTATAAACAGGCTTGGGGCACTACAACCGCCAAATAAGCCAGCTGCTCCATATCCAGAGAAAAGAGAGAAGTTGCCTAGTCCAGCTGCTTTTACGATGGTCTTCCAGTTACAAACCCTTATTGCTGTCCCTGGTCAACTTCTAGCTGTCCCTGTTTGGAGTCTCTCAAGAGATCTTTTAAGAAAAGTGATTATACCTCTGCTACTATTTTCTATGCGTGTACTTTGAGTTGTGATTTACTCTTCTGGAGTTTATCGAACAATAAAGTCCAATCTGCCTCCTACCTTCTAAGATTTCATCAAACTTTCTGGTGTACTAATGTCCACCCCTTTTCTCCTCCCTTTTTCTGGTTTGTTTCAAGTGCTGCCAAGGATTTATTTATTTTTATATGTGTGGTCATTTCAATCGGAATTTAGAATGGAGAGAAGGCAATGTAGTTCATATCTATCACCCTGAACTAAGAAACTATATAGCCATTTTAGAGTTGCTCTAAATGCTTACCTGAATTTGCTTAATACTTCATCTGGCTGTTCACAAACAGGCAGACCTAACTGTAAATAGATAAATTCCCATACAAGTTCCCACGACCTTGCTAATTATTCTTCATGGATCAAATAGGATTTAGCAGTGTTAAGAGCTTTAGATGAGTTTAAATTGTTCCCTGAGCCTCTTGGCAGTTTCATGTGTGTTAGAAGTGCCTGATCATAAAACAAAGTAACTATAGAGAGGTGCCTAAACTAAGAAGACTAAGATAAAAGTTAAAGTGACAGCAGAATTTGAACTGGCCTACAATTTACTTCGGAGTGTTACATATTTTGTGTTAGTTGAGCTTGACCAACTCTACCTTGGATTTGCCAAAAAAATAATTGATGTAATCACAGAGCCAAGAATGATAACATGTGAATATCTGTGGAGGATTGGCAGGACCCCAGATCACTGGGAAAAATCTAACAGAGTACCTATTTTTAAAAAGCAATAAAAAGTTGCTTGAGAATTAATGACCTTTTATAGAGTGAAAAAGCAGTGCATACTTATTACCTTGACCCAAATAGGTTTTAGACAGTCTTATACTGTAATGGCAATAATGAGTAGAAGAAGAATGTATTTATGTATTGCACCAACATAACATTAATTATTCAAAATTGGATAAACGGTTTTTGATATAAAACTATTAGATTTTTATTTATGGCTATCATTTTATTAGAATTTAAATCCATATCTTACCAAACATCAATATAATTCAAGACATCTGCATTTTGGCCACATGTCTCCATTTTTACTCACATATATGTTATCATTTAGATGTTCCGAGTAACACAGATGTATAATATTAAATTAGGAATATTAACAGTCATTATTCAGATGCCAAATCCTTCTTTGATGTGTGTGTAGGATGTATGTTGAAAACCTGCCTTACTCTTGAATTTAAAATTAAATTAGAAATGATTTCAATAAACGAAGTTATTGTTCTAAAAATCAAGCAAATTAAAAAGAAACAAGTGCTGATATAGGATGCTTTAATTAAGAGGGAGAAAAGAACTCTCACATTTCTGAAGTGGGCAAAAGCTATTTAGATAACAATGAGCCAGAAGAAAAAGAGCAGGAGTCCCTACGAGTGCCTGAGCAGCAGCGCCATGGACTCAATCATTTGCTGAGATCTTTCAGGCCTCTGACCTTGGTCTATAACGCTTCCACTTCTGACATCTACTATTTTTCCTTCTTTATCTTGCCAGTTCTCCTCTTATCCTTCCAGTCTGAACGCTGTGAAGCCTTTCTTGCCTTACATTTTTACTTAGTTCTCTGTTTTCTTTGTTTCCTTAGTATTTTGTAGATCTGGATGCAGCCAACATTTGTTGAGTGCCTACTAACTACCACGCACTACATTATGAAATAATAGCTGTATCACAGGGGCATGACCTCAGTGTGATCATATTTATTTAACCAGTTGAAGAAGCTGAGACCTTGAGAAGGTATATGAGTTGTCCAAGGAATTCCTGCCTCCATACTTTACTCTGATTTTGGTTTAGGTAGGAGCATGCTGATGGTTTGTTTAAATACCCCATACAATATTGAGAAATAATTTTGGCCACATTTCTCCATTTTTACTCATATATATGTTATCATTTAGATGTTCTCAGTAACATAGATGTATATTAAGTTGAAGATATTAGTTTTACTTGTTAATAAATAAAATCTATTAGATATTTATTTATATAAGGCACATCATCAGTCATTATGGGGTAATAAAGTATAAAGGCACAGTCTCTGACTTTGAGTCCTTGACTTCAGCATAAGACAAGAGGTAAGAGAGGAATATCCATAATGACAATACAAGGTAGTATGTATCAGTGCTACAGGAGTCAGAAAATAATGTGCCAAGTGATGAGGGAAGAGTCTATAAAGGGTTGGTATGTGAGTCGGGCCTTCGACAAGGTTTGTTAGGTGGTAGAGGTGCTCAATGTTTGCAGAGTGTTGAGTGGTATTTTGAAAGTTGACGTTTAGGGGAAGGTTGTACTCATTAATTTATTCATTCACTCAACACATTTTTGAATACATACTAGATGCCAGACATTCTCCCAGAAACTGGGAAATTATTTATTAACCCAGGTATGGATCTGTCTTCAAATACATTCTCATTGTGTTAGAGTCTTAAATAAGAATCAAATTTCAGGGTTGGCACGGATTTTTAAAAATTATGAGGCCCACCTGGTCTTTAGTTCTAACTTCTAGAATAATAGTAGCTCCTAGAAAATTAATATAACCCTGGATTTTAAGCATGCATTCTTCACTCCCTTTTTACCAAAACAGCAATAAGAGATAAACCACAAATATGACCTAGTGCTCTCTTTCACACACTTCCAGCCCCATAAATAACCGCCATAAGTGAGAAATTAAAGCTGAAATAGAGGATCAGCTGTACACTAATAAATGAATTGACAACTTTCTTTTGATATTAGGTCCTGGTGACGAGGTAAATAAATTTAAAAAGAATCATCTGTCACATTGAGAGAATTTGAAAAATATTAATATGTAGCCAAGATGATTTTAAGGCAATGATGAGAATATCATCCATCAGTTCTAGCTATTTCCTGACTGGAAATGAGAATGACTGGCTGAATGTGAGAAGGTCCCACTGCATCAGGATGACTCAAACACCACAGACATTTTGAGAGAGGGTAGAGGCTCTGGAAGAATTGGGATAAAGTCACCACTGAGTTTGAGACTCTCTTTATGAGAGCTCATATAGCCACAGTTTCTGATGTTGGGCTGGGAGTAAACACTCTAATTTCTTTCTACCATCAACATTCATAAAAGAAAAAGAGTTTTTGATGCCTCAAAACAAGGCTTATCTAACAAAAATTATTTTGTGAAAATAAATGTTTATGTTTAGACTGAAAACCTGCCTCGTTTCACATTAGCCCAGTATGTCTTTAAAGTAGCAAAATACGTGACAATTGAAAAATGATTACCAAGTAGGAAAATGCTTATTGAACCACTTCTCTGTGGAGCATTGTACAGGAGGGGTGGATGTATTTGAAAGCCCAGGTCAAAATGTCTGTCAATTGTTTTAGTTATTCTGTGGACAACTATTGAGGAAAAAGCACCCAACGTCTGTGTCCACTTGGCTTCATTTCTTTTACTTTTCTTAGAGGGATACTATGAATCTCCTGGTTACTATGTTCATTCTGTGGCCAGTTCCTCCCTCTTTTCACAAAAGAGCTGGTCCTGCTGTCACCCTAGTACGGTGCTCCCCTTCCCACCTGCACCCCCAAGAGGTTATTCCTTTTCCCTACTCCAACATTCAGAAAGGAGCAGCTCATTGCTTATGCTGCAATTTTGATAACCTAACTGGCAGAACAGTTATTCAAATTTTAGCTTCTGAATGCAGCAAGATCAACTTGGCCTATCCACATAAATAATTTTGACACGATAAGTATGCGAGAGCGATGATAACCGATAAGTGAAGCAATTACCTTGCTTTTTTGGATTATATTAAATGAAGATTCTGAGAGAGTAATGAAAAGAGACAAAGCAGACAAAAAGTCGGCTGCAAAGCTTTTGGGCACTGTGTTATCTCTATTATACCATATTGAAATAGAGAAGCTATCACCAATCATGCATTTTTATGTAACTTCTGGCTTCTAACAGTGAACAATGAATAAATTGTCACAAGACAGTAACTGATAAATTGGGATTGGCAGTGCTTTTTAAAAAGCATAAATAAACTTACTAGTCACCTTTTTCTTTCTCAAATCAGTTTTTAGGGGACTCTGGAGGGGGGATCCCTTGTAAGTTATGTTCCCTTCTGTTTCCTCCCTCTGCCCCAGCCCTTTCCCGGCCACTGG